GACTGCAGACTTGTTTACGCGACGGTGTTTGACATCAGCTATATGTTTATTGACGCGGGTACAAATACTTCGCTTTGTTTGTCCAATATAAGTGAGACCGCACTCACAGTCAAGCTTGTAAACTCCTGCATCCTGTAAGGGGATGTTACATTTCACGGGTCTCAGGAACTGAGAAATCTTCTTCAGGTGCTTGAAATAAGTCTTGGTAGAAGCACGCCTGAGGACTCTTCTGATCTTGTCTGTAACACCTCTCACGTAAGGTAAGATGGCAGGTCTTCGCTCGACTGTTGGTGGTTTCACACGGGGCCTGCGTCATTGGCGTGGAATTTTCAACTTATTCGCATGTAGGACTTGCTTTATATGCTGAAGTTCCCCTGCCAGATGATTACTGTCGCAGACACTATGTGCTCTCTGAAACAAAGACCTGTAAAAGGCCCGAAACGTCGGTTTGTTTACAAAAACAAATATACGCGATTTAAATCCGGAAAAATAGTTTCATTTCCTATATGTAACAATCGCGAAAACCTAAGAACTCGATAATTCATTGTAGTCCTTTATATAATTGGGGTGTTTTATGAAGGATATTTTGCAGTTGGCAATTGATGGTCTTGACTTGGCCATCGGACTAAAGGGCGCTGAACTCTTTCAGTTATTTATAGCTTAGTTTAGTTAACATTAAAAAAAAATTAACGTGTGAAACAAATTGTAATTAAAAACAAAAAAGTTACACAAACTGCACCGTGTGTGTGGTTCTCAAGATCCAATTGGTGTAATAAGAAACATTCGTAAAAATCGCCAACTTCATGTCGCAGTCCCGCGGCTTCACGGCTATGATGCCAACAATCTTGTCCCCCGTATAGATAGGTCCAAATTCATTGATAAAACAACTGTCGTATTCTGACATGTCAACACAGAACATGCTTTCGTCCAAATAAATGCCATAGCTCTCGTAGCACTTGGTCCCAGGGGCAATAAATACTGGGATCTTTTCAAAATCATTCGTCAAATATAACTTTTTGTCCATGGTGGACACAGTCTTCCACACACTGACGTCACCCGCAGTCACCTCATACTCGTCCATATATGCTGATTTCAAAGAGAACGGTAATACGTTTACTAGGTTTAATTTAGCAACGGCTATGTCATACTTTGGAGACGGTATTGTCGAATTGTACAACTCATGTAACCGCCATAACATAATGGGATAGCTAGTGCTGACATTCCTCGCGAAATCGTTATATAAAAAGACTCTATGCGTTGACCCTGTTCTTCTGCAATGGGCAGAAGTCACTACCCATTTGACAAGTATCACACTGGCAAAGCAGGCAAACTCCCAAGTTCTGGATGAATTTCTGGTTATCGCCGCAACGTATGGAAATCTTTCTGAAACGTTTAATGACGACTTTTCGCTGAGTCTAATGAGGCCCATGTTCTTTGCGAACCTCAAGCTCCCATGGTCAAGCATGGTCGGCTCCCCGGGTTCGGGCTTAGGTTTATCCACTACAGCAAATTTGACCATAATGCAAACTATCATTATAGATACGAGGATCAATGCTGGTAGAACCAAACATGTTGGATGCATTTTCTCAGGCCTGCGAAAAACAGAAAGAATAATTCAGCAAATATGCAAAATATATTTGATTAATACCGTCTCAGTTCGCCGTATTCATATAGAGAAGAGTTAAAGAGTTTTTTTTTAAAGAGTCCGATACCATAGTATAAACAATACAAGTAGTCCAACCCCCGCCTGTTCGACGCGTGAATGCGCGGAGCGTAGGGTTTTTTACATTAGAAATAGAAATGGAAACCATTTATTGCAACGTCACGTTACAAAAAAGATAGATGAAAAAGATTAATAAAAAAATATAACTAAAACAGAAATAGCACAAAAAGCAGAGTAACAACATTTAAACAACAAGTTACATCATACTATACTGAGATTTGGGCGGCTATGGTATATGCAAAACAATCCCATTCAGCTAAAGTCACAACCAAGACTAGGCTGTGTCGCTGGTTTTGAGTGGATCTGTGCCGATTGAATGATGGTCGTATGCGTTCGTTTCAAAACAAAATAACATAAAATGAACTACGTAAGTATTTGTCTTGTGGGTATATCGTGTTATTGCAGTGTGTACTCTTATATCGATTAAATAAGTAGCACCTACAGGTATCAAAATATAATTAGGAAAAAATATAACGTATTCATCACAGTATCCTCGTGCAAATTGCCTTATTCAAATACTGTACTTACACATTGACATACCAGCATCATGGATTAGTATAATGTGGGATTATAATCATGAAATGAACAATTCACATATAAGTACAAAATATATTTGGCACGGAAATAGCACTTTGTGTATTCAAGTCGGTAAACAAGGAATTACGAACGAGACTCTCGGAAGCCCGAAGTCGAACACTGAGGACTTTCGGAGTCGAGGTTCGAAATTCCCGTACCGCCCGTGAAACATACAGTTTTTCATCACACTTGCACGTAAATAGTTTGATTACAGGCAGGCTAGCTTGACTTAATGCCACAATTGAATCCCTCAGGCCTTTTTTCTTCTCATTACAGCGATTGTCGGTTGTTCAATTTCAATTTACAATAATATTGTAAATTTGAAGAGAATTTCATGTGTGGAATTGGATCAGTTTGTCGTCTTATGTGTATACAGGCCCCCCTCTGCTAATTTTAACGAGTTTGAATTAATTATGGAAGACAGTTTAAAGCTAATTTTTCCAACCCAAAAAAACGTAGTAATATGTGGAGATTTCAATGTAAACCTGTTGGAAAACTGTTCTACTTCTGTAAGACTCATTAATTTATTTCAAAGTTTTAACTTGATTAGTCTTTTTTTAGAACCAACTCGCAATACTGCCTCCTCTTCTACTTGTATTGATAACATCTTTTGTAACACAGACGCAGTGTCTAAATCAATAATAATTTGCTTAAGATCCGACCATAGTGGCCAATTGGCTTCTTTTAATTATATAATGAGCAAGTAGGTAGATCAATTTCTCTGCAGACCTATTACCACAGAACGAATAATTAGATTTCAAAATAATATCGGCAATAGTTTAAATTCCCTACCCCATATACCGGAGGTTCCAAATACTTTATATAGCACGATATTTGGTTTAATTAAAAATGAATTTGACAATATATTTAAATCGAAAACATTAACTTTCCATAGAGAGACTAAATTCAACGACTGGGCAATAGTAGGTATTCATAAGAGTAGGTCTCGTTTGTATGAGCTATATGCTATGAAAACTTATAATACTAATTCCAATTTCATAGAATACGTTAGAATTTATTCAAAAATATTTAAAAAAGTATGTGTAGCTGCTAAGGTTAAGTTTCACAGCGACAAAATTAGACAATCGATAAATAAATCTAAAACTACTTGGGGCATAACAAATAAAGAGTCAGGCAGGGTTAAACAACACAATAGAGATATGGTTTTAGAATTAGACAGCAAATTTATAAAATCTAAAGACAAGGTAGCCCAAGCTTTTGAATCGTTCTTTTCGGAAATTGCATGAGAACTATACTACAAAATCATTAAATTCCTCCCCTTCCCTTGCTATTGATCTCCTAAAGGAAAATGTTAACGTTTGTAGCAGTTTATTTAATTTCCGTCATGTTAATCCACAAGACATCATAAAAGCTTTTAAATCAATACATGTTAAAAAAAACTGAAGATTTCTGGGTCAAGTTATAGACTCAGTTATTGATCTTATTTCCCCACATTTAGCTGTAGCTTTCAATAGGTGCGTTGACGAAGGCGTTTTTCCCGATTTAATGAAATACAGCAAGGTTATTCCCTTATTCAAAAGCGGTAGGAAAGTTGATCCTAGCAACTATAGGCCCATTTCAATTTTACCAGCTTGAAGTAAAATATTCGAAAAGGTTATGCTGACTCAATTACTGTCCTATTTCATGTGACTAGCGATGCGGGGGTAGCGTTACTAAAACACATCTTTGAAATTTTGAACTTGGGAAAAGTCCCAGAACGCTATTGGTGTTTTCTGTGACTCCTCAAAGGCATTTGATTGCATTGACTATATTACTCTTGTTAGGAAGCTGGAATTTTACGGTGTAAATGGCAAGGCGTCGGAATATCTCAACGGTACAATTCAGAAAGTAGACATAAATGGAGTGACTTCTTTGGGTTCTCCGGTAAAAATGGGTGCTCAATATGAGTTATGAGTCTCCTTCAACGTGCAGATTTTATCACGAGATTTAAGTATACTATGTTTAGAAATTAAAGTGTTAAGTACATGTTAAAGGGATTTGAATCATCGACCATTCAATTGAGAAGCAACTAATTTTCCACTGTGCTACCACCGTTTATTTTCGAAAACAATAAAAAATCCAAATCAACACTTTGGCTTGTTTATTTCAATATTTCTTAGAAGTAGAGCTCCTTGTGATAGAGTTCGTCAAGGAAAGTAATACCGCCTTATCTACAGAAGTAATGTGAGCATTGGGTAGGTACTGCGTTCCTGTTTTGAAAGATGAAATTACAGGCAGACGGGACTTGTCAACTTATGTCTCAAGGTGACGGGCGCAGCGGCAGTGCGACGGGTATGGACAGACCTGTCGCTTACAACCAGACGCATGGCTCGTTCATCACGTCATTTGGTATCAATGTAAAAAAGTTTCCCTCTGACTATATAGAGTAACTGCAGACGATGTTAGAAAACACTATTGAGAAGATCCTAGTGACAGTAAGAGATAGAAAATATCACCTGATTTTTTATTTTCCACAAAACTATAGAATTTTCTTCAACGCATTTGTAGCAATAATTATGATCCAGCAATGAAAATTTTCGTCTGACACACCGACGGCAGTTGTTTTGGGGTAACGCTGCTGGCATGAACAGATCCGGATCCTGATCCTGCAAAAACGTGTTAACAATGGGTGCTAATAACGAGAGTCCATGTGAAAAATTTACATTTTTACACTTGAGCTACATTGCAATTATTGTCAAGAAGACTAGTATTTTTTTCATGAAAAATACTGACAGACTTAACATTAAAACGTGGATTAAAAATGTTCTTTGCAGTCGTTTTTACAAATTCAAGGGGAAACTATACACTTCTATAACAATTCCGGTATTATTTATTTGTAAATATAACAGTTTACGTAGGCATAATATAATTGTACTGTGTCACAAAAACCAATTTTGGCTTTATCGTAAACTGCCTCTCGTCACATAATACAAGTACACATTTCATATCAACTTGTAGTATAAATTAATCGAAAGTATCAGATTAATCAACACTGTTAATTTAGCTGTAGGGTAAGATACAAAATATTGAAAAATTCAAAATTTTGCCCTTTACGCAGTTTTTAGTGAAACAAAATTTTTATACTAAATATGCAGCATCTGCGCACTTGAGTCTACCTTTTTCAGGTGGTTCCTATCTATGATATTTGAAGTAAATGTTGTAAATTATAAAATGTGTACGATTGTTTATTTACGAAGAGCAACCCCAGAGATTTTTACTGATTCTTCTCAGTGGCATCTGACTTACGAATGAGCAGTAGATTATAAGGATTTAAATTTTAAGTGTAATTTGCTTACCTATAAGAAATAAAAATAATTTTGAGTATTGATTTTGAGTAACCTTGAAATATAACATCATACCTAATTGTCAATTCCCTGCCATCAGTTATAGAACGACCCTTGTCCTTGTCTCTAAGTTTTTTTTTTCATCCTCTAAGAGGATGGAAAAAATTGTCATGTTGCAGAATTAAAAGAATCTCATTTCTTACCTTATCAACGACTACCAAAACCAGTGACACCATAGCACAGTTACAAATCTTAGGTGATGGAGATATTGTCCGTTCACGTTTATGCCTAGGCCATTCCAATCTAATGTTTTGAAAATATCTTTCAGTGCAATAAAGAATAGCTCCGAAGATATACATAACATCACCTAGGCGTACCCTCTTAATATTAGAATAATAGTTGAACCGTGCTATCATGACTGTTTGATATCGATTTTTTGGCAGGGTAATATACCTATAGTCTATTCCGCATCGCCAAAGAATAATATAAAGCATAATAATTCAGCTATATCAAAAAAAAGACGTGGACCGTGGTGTCAAATCCAAGCAAGTATAGGATTTCAATTTCAATTCTTCGTCCAAGGGATTCGTATTTGTGGTCTTCCTGGAAGAAGTAGATGGCAGACAACCTTTATTTTTTGTGTTTTTTTAAGAGCACGCTGGAACCGCGATGAATTTACTTCACGTCGAGTATCGCGAATTTATTGGGGACGGAGATTTCAAGGGTTTTTTTATATTGTGCCATTGAATTGTTCATTAAATTCTATTGTTGGCATTTTTTTCTTGTAGCTTTTATACCATGCTTTGAAATGGATTCTGTTTTGCGTTCTAATTTTTTTATGATTTTTAACAAGTAATATCCCAAACTGGTTACAACTACTTTACTCATATCTCTCCTTCTTTTTCCTGGCTCTTTCGATCGCTGATATAAAATTGAATTATTTTTTAACGTTATCACCGCTGATGCGCCGATGCGCCGCAAGTCTCTTGTTTTCTAAAATTTCCTCCTTCATTTTTTTTGTTTTCCCATTGTGTTGAAAAACATTGTTGATTGGTTTTATTATAAGGTCTAATTATCTGCAAGTCTGGTTTGTATCATAATATGTTTGGATATGCTTTATACTACCACGAAATAGTATATAATATTTAAAACTCTTCAATATTTTCATACTGCGGTAATTTGAAAACCTACGGTAATTTTATACTACGGTACTTAGAACATGGACCATTTCCTTAAAAATTTCAAGAATTGGAACAGATGGAAAATACTCGAATATCGTAATACATAAAGGCCTCTTAGCTCTTTTATTTCAATAAGCGACAACACATTTCTTTGAAAAACGTAATTTTCAAATAGTGGAACGGGAATTAGAAAATTTTAAAACCAAAGTGACAGTAATTAGATATTTATGTCAACTGCGAGAGGATACGTCGACACAGGTACATTGGCACTAATCAAGTGCCGAGACACGGCTGATAGCTCGCATTCAGGCAATAATGAATTTCAAATATTTCGTGGTTTAGTGATGAGCACTTTGAAAAGGAATGACTATGGTAATTATAACTTCCGGCTGGACATTCGGAAATTTGATGGTAGATTTTAAAACAATGGTTGTCGTAGGTTATATTATTATGTTATTACACGAGCAGTATTTCGCCACCTAGGATCTTAAATGGCCCTGGTATAATGCATTCCGGACTAAAACGAGAAGTAAATTTGCAGACAAAGGTAGCGTCCGGACAGGCTACGGTAATTGGAGAACAAGGATATGCAAAATAAAATGTGTGTGATAATTAAGTAGCAGAGCTAAAATCTTAAAAATACTTTTAGATAAAAGTATAAACTACGTAAATAAAATACTCGTGGTTCTGTATAATGTTATACAGAGACAGGAAAGGCCCGCACATCAAAAAATTTGCTGTTTTGAGAATGGCCGAATTAATGTGGAGTGGTGGAACATTTGTGAAATAAAGTTGAGTGATAGAGTGAAGAATACAATAATGTGTGTATACTGTGTCCATAGCACCCGCGATATGGTTACCCTAGTGCGGGGCTAGAGGTGCGTTAAGTGGCATATAGAAAATTAGAATGGAAAAAAAGGTTTGCGGTATCTAAGTAAATCTCTTTCATAGTTGAAGTCTGTATCTCAATGAGAAATAATTTATTAAGTACTGTATCTTTAATTTTAAAGGTAAGATTAAACCAATGCAGTGCTTACCCTGTCCTATTTAAATCGAGACATTTTGTCCTGACGAAAAAGATAAACTAATAACTAGGCAGTATGGTCTCTAAACTTCGCCTGTTCCATCAAAACAAACAAAGTAACTAAATATATGAAGAGGCTGTATCTTAGAGGACGGAAAAGTTTCCATAGTCTAAGGGCTGTATGGTGGAACCTTTGCCTTCCAAATAAATGGATGAAAATAATAAAAAACCAATGCTGAAATTGTTCTCAGTGGGACTGAAGCCAAAACCTTCAAAAATTGAAGTGATTGTTTCTCTTGGTTATAATCTTTCATGTATCAATTAATCTATCTTTCATTTATACAATATGTCGAGAAAAGAAATTGAGAAACTGAAGCCATCGAGGCTAGAACCGGCCACTATAAATTTCATAAGCTACTCACGCCCGGAAAGATTCGAACTAGATCCTAGCTCTATTAATGCGGAGATTAAATGGACTCATTGGAAATGGACAAACACACGACTGGATATTTAGAGTGAGTACACCACAGACTTATATCTAAATAGACACCGCAAGTACCGCGATCTGTATGAAAACCAAGCGTGCTACATATTTTGCACCTCCGACGGCGTCACAAGCGCTATTTAGTGATGGGAAAATTATATAAACATTTTTTATGCTACCAAGGGACGGAACAAGTCGTAAGCTTTGTGATAAGCGACACGTCTGTCCATAACAGTTACCGTGCCACTCAATCACAAAGATCTGGGCACTGCCACTGCGCCCGTCACCTTGAACCGGACAGTTATCCTTCAAAACCGGAACGCAGTAATGCTCACATTATTGATTGACAGCAGAAGTAGGTAAGGTGGCAGTATTTCTCTGGACGAACTCTTTCGCAAGGAGCTGTTCAGCTACTAAATAAAAATAAATAAGACATAGGTACATCTTGCCGCTGTCACTGAGTTTCGAACCGCTCTGTTCTCTCGCACGCGATTAAAACTACGCGCATCAACAATAAAACATGACAGAACGATGTAGCGTGAACCAGATTCGTCGCGGCGGCGTCTAAATGGCGCGTGCGACGATAAACTTGATTCCATCCCCGTCTGCTCACAACATCGGGGGTTGGTACTGATTTACATAAAATTTTATTATCTGCGTTTTCACTTTTGTATTTTTATAGCTTATCGCTGTGATATTTTACAAATATCTTAAGAGGTATCGATGAAATATGAATTGGCAACCGCAGCCCCGACGAATGTTATATTAATAGTATTTCCCTAAAATTCTATTCATTAGCCAGTGGTATTTCCAAAAGCAAATGTCGTCAAAACGTTTAAAAGTCACCAGTAATTATCGCTAAAACTGTTTTTTGCACTCCAAAGAAACTCATTATAAGGACTATACTAACTCATTTTATAGACTAGAACTGTTTTGTCCATAGCACATTAAAAGAGCACCAATAGGTACCTACACCTAAAATGAGAAACCTACCATTAAGTACCGCGTTTACAAGTAACCTAAAAAAATTATTCTGGCAAATCAGTACTGTGACAACTGCGCTCCGATCGGCCGGACCGAATTCGAAACAATTGAAAATTGAAAATTGCAAAATTACGTATTTAATATTTAATTACTGATGAAATGTGATTCAGTTTGTTTTGTAATTAGACGTTTTGTTTGTTTTTCCCACACCACCGAATGGAACAGCCCCCATTGTTAGAGATATTATATTTATTACAATAAATACAGAATATTTTTGGAATATACGGAGACGTAACACACAGATCAGTTGTTGGCGCTGTATTATTTCAGTTTTCTAATTTGTGATTTCGGCGCAAACGAGAGTTGATATTTAAAAGTGATTTAAAGTCCATTTACCTGATGAGTTGCCAGGAATGGATGGCCCTTTTTTCGTCTCTATTTCTGGTTATATACTCGATGATACCACATGTGCGGGAGCACGTACTTTTTGTTACATTTTAAATAGTTTTTATTCCTTTTGAGTTTGTAGTCTTTTTTATGTTATATTTTTTGGAAAAAAAATACGTTCCTAAGATCCCGAAGGATTTTTAATAGTTTCTCCCTTCTCCCTCTCTACAACCACCAGACAAGAGTCTCGCCAATACAACGTTTAATACTTTTTTGTATCGTCTGAATTTATCTTAATGACAATCGAACTCGGGTCCTTTTTATCTAGTGTCCAAAGTACTAACCGCTGGATTTCCGAAATTGTGAACAAAATTGAAAAATAGTTTTTTCACGAAAACACGTCCTACCCTGTCTTACCACAGCATATGTACAAAATAAAACAAATCAACAGTAGG